TCCGCGGCCCCAGTTCATAACTCGCCCGCCGACATCCATCACCGTCTAGACGAGCTCGTGGCTCTGCCGAAGAGCGTCGGGACAACGCGCGAGCCAATCAGCACCGTGCCATCGCCAAGCTGGACGAGCCGGCGACGACCATGCACCGGGGCACACCGACAAACGGAGTCGGCGGGCTTGCGTAACGGCACCGGGGCGACGGAGCGTCGTGGTGAGCCGCCGAGGGCTGCCCCGGTTACGCGGAATTGAAAGACGGGACACTGAGGTCAACACGACAGTGTGCGACGATCGGTAGCACAGTTAGCGAACTGCGTCCAGTTGTGAGGCTCGCTTTGAAAGGGCGACTTGAGTTGCCACGCATGCCCCGAAATCAAATGGCTCTCTTTCACAATGTACAGGTGGTCTTTAGTGTATGTATAAATATTAATATGTATATATATATATATACATATATTTATAAATTGCATGCATACATGAGGAAAAATATGCAAATATGTACATCAACGAGCAGCTCTTCGAGGCGAGAGCTTGCAGCACTTTAGCTCTTAAACTCATCCCCATTGTATGAGGGCCACCATTTCATCAATGCTTGCAACGAAAGCCATCGAACTCGGTCACTCAAGCCGTTAGATCTTCGTCGGAAACATACGATGATTATCGGGTTTTTGGGCGCTAAATGTCGAAACATTAACAGTGCCTTCCACGCCGTTCATAATACGACGGTACACACTGGTGCACAGCACACCATCTCGACCAGTGCTTAGAACACCGATCGCCTTTGGTGAGGAGTCAAACAAGTCTCGTCGCCACGCCATCAGATGAACAGCTTGACCACCTGCATGTTTGTTGAGTTGAGTCTCTCCTCCGCTGTCCGCGACAACACTTGTGCTAGCTGCTCGCGAGATGCGACATCGCGTCTCGCTTCTTGGAACATCGCCTGCAGGCGCCGACCGCACGTGCTTGGTCGACGCGGCGCCGTCGGTAATGGCTGGGGCGGCGCGCGTCCGTGACCATCTCGGCAGCCGGCCGCGACACCCAATCATCGTCACCAGCGACGACATGGCGGCCCGCCTAGCATGGTCTGCACACGACCGTCATGTCCGGCGTTCCCGATAGCGTAATTCCACTCTGGCACGTGCAGCGCGGCCGGAGAAGCGCGACGAGGGGGATGCTGGTCCGCGCCCACAGATTTCCCGGGGGTGTGCCCCGCGCTTCGCGTGAGGCTCGTGCTGCCACCTGGCGGCTGGACGGCGGCCAGTTGCAGGAGGGTCCGGCGCGGCCAGCCGGTCGCCCGGCGGCACTCTCGGCGGGCGGATGCTGGCCGGAGTTCCAATCTGCGCAGCGACTCGGCCGGGCGCAGCTCCGGCCCGGAAATTCCTGGACGTCTTCAGGCGAGCTTAACGACCCGTGCGACGACTCGATGAGCGCGGTCGCGTCTCGTCGGACCACAGGCCCCGCTCTCGGCCATCCCCGGCTCCGGATAAGCTCGGCTGAGATCTCTGAACCGCACAGCCCATCCGGCAGTCATCTCTCTCGATGACAACTGTCAGGCTCACGCCTCCGATTGGTGCACATCGTGCTGGGCGCAGCACATGACAGACGCACGCGCGTCCTCCTGGTGCTGAAGTCCACTGCTTGGGGTGCTTTGACGATGTTGGTCGGTGCAGAAGACCATCAGTATTCGTTTGAGTTCTAAAGAGGCGACGAAGTTCTGTGCGGCTGGCTTACTGGCTCCGCGTTGGTGATGATCAATAAAGCACCCATTTAGACGGATGGATGGATGTACTGATTGGAAGACAGTAGCGTGCACACGTAGGTTAGGTCACGTTCACGTCGAAGTCACAGATGGGGTCAGTGTGAAGGCGGGATGTACAGATAGATGTAGTTCCGTCTGCACTGAGGTGGTCGTTGGATAGAGCAGCGTTCTGATTGGAATCCCCAAATGGAGTAAAGACCACTTTGTTCCAAGCCTGCAAGTGCCTTCTAATGGTCTTCATTGCATCGTTTGGCGAATGAACCACTAATGGTCACTTAAGGGCCTTGGGTCATTATTGGATGGACATGTTGGGGCGCTATTGGACAGCACTGGGGTGACACTAGGCGGAGTTGGGCTAGTCTTACTGATCGCAAGGCTGGTTCACAGAGCTCTGAAGCCGCGTGAATGCCTGACTCGTAAGAGCCTTTCTGTGTATCTCGAGAGCATTCGCCATATATATTATTATCATTCCACCACCTACAAATAACTTACGTCATTAGCATGGCAACATTTAAAGTCCGATTGCCGAAAAAATGACATAGATATAGCTTGCCAAAAGTCATGTATAACGGAAGCCAGGATATTGCTGACTAAGAGATACCATGCAAAGCTCCCTCCTAAGAATTTAGGCATCGTCTGAATCTTTTTCAGGTATAATAAAACACATACACACACGCACACGCACACGCACACGCACACGCGCACGCGCTCGGTGCGCAGCTCAGCAGAAGAATCTGCAACCACACAGACGTTACACAACGGACAAGGTTACCACTAGCTTTCGCACGTGGCAGCTGACATTTACCGAGCCTGGTGCTCGGATGCCTCCGTCCAGCCTGGCTCGCTCTGCAGAAGGTCAGCACGTGCGGCATCTGCCCGCTGTGACCGTCCTCCCTGACCTGGTTGGGCCACACGTACCGTCGTAGCTCGCCGACAGGCACCGTTATGACGACCACCAACCGTTGGAAACCACAGCACGTCGGGAGTGAGCCGCCCCGATTTCGCGCACACCGGGCTAAATCAGAGACTCGGAGCGGCTAACTCTGCCGTTATGTCCTGGGATCGGCGTGAGCTGTCTCATGTAAGGCTGAATTTGTGACCTCCTCCCACATAGACGCCTGCAGTAAGGAACCGATCCGACGCAAGATATGTGAGCCACAGGCCACATGTTTATCTGAGCTCTCTCTCTCTCTCTCTCTCTCTCTCTTCTCTCTCTCTCTTCTCTCTCTCTCTCTCTCTTCTCTCTCTCTCTCTCCTCTCTCTCTCTCTTCTCTCTCTCTTCTCTCTCTCTCTCTCTCTCTCTCTCTCTCTCTCCTCTCTCTCTCTCTCTCTCTCTCTCTCTCTCTCTCTCTCTCTCTCCTCTCTCTCTCTCTCTCTCTCTCTCTCTCTCTCTCTCTCTCTCTCTCTCTCTCTCTCTCTCTCTCTCTCTCTCTCTCTCTCTCCTCTCTCTCTCTCTCTCCTCTCTCTCTCTCTCTCTCTCTCTCTCTCTCTCTCTCTCTCTCTCTCTCTCTCTCTCTCTCTCTCTCTCTCTCTCTCTCTCTCTCTCTCTCTCTCTCGCAGCGTCTCTCTAGAAGTGTCTCTTGAAAATATAACATTAAAGGTGGGCACGCTGAAACACATGAATCAAGCGCATGTGACGTTATGTTACGTCATGAAATAAATATTGCTCGTAAATTGGGTCTCCAAGGACATTTTTAAGCTGTGCCCTGCCCCTAATTACGAAATCTTGCACAGGCCACAGGGTGGATCCAACATACACGTGCTGTTCGGTGTTAACGTTTTATTGACATTGCAATGAAAACAATGTATTTGTTTGTGAAAATGGCACCATACAATTTTGCACTCCACTGAGCTTTTTTCTGTTACTGACGCTGCTCCTGAAATGGAGGTGTATTGAGCTCCTGAGACCATTTCGCTGCGATCTGGGTAATATTGTAATGATGGCTCTGGTCCCTGACGTAATGCGCAGGCTCGGCCCGCGGTGCGACGCCTCCAGACATCGCCGGCCCCGTCGCCTTGCTCCAGGAAGCGTTTGCCAGCGTCTTGTAATTACATTTTGAATGCATACACCGTCGACAATGTTGCATGCACCGTCAGCGGCATGACAGCAGCATGTCCTATTTAACTTGCAAATGTCTTATCTTACAATTCAAGGTGCACCAAGCACTCGAGCACTGTACCTTAGTCTGGCAGCGGCCGTGTCTTACACCATAAACTGCTCGCACCTGATGCCCACCTTGGGCCTGAGATCTAAGACCGTGACATAGTTTACACAATGGTTCATTTTGTTTGGGACAGACAGTTAGTATGCATATGCCAGCAAAGTTCGTAACCTGTAGGCATCAGGTAAGCCCACCTCTTGTTTTGCCCAAAATAAATCAAATGAAAGTCCCGGTCAGACCCTTGGTGGGTGAATGCAACGTCAACGAACCTGGCAAAACATTGCACGATTTTCTCTGGATCCTAGTATCTGGCGTGCACGTCCGCGACCCGGCCGAGAACGAGGTGGGGCCACGGCTTATCGTTGCATGCTTTACGAAATGTGTTGCATGCTTTAGTATTTTACATGTCTCTGTCACGTCTGCAATACAGACGTTATCCATCCACTTTTCGAAATCCGTTTGCTACGTGTTTTGTTTGTTATTTCCACTGGAATGTATGAAAGCGAAATACCATAAAGTAACGCAAATGAGCCGATGCCCACTCTGGATTATGGTAGACATACATGAGGAAAACAGTTATAGCATGTGCCTGTCACCGCGCATCGATATGAACAAGCATGAGTCACTGAAAACTCGCAAGATCGCTACATGTGTAGTGACACTGTGTTTTACACTACGGTGCGATCTATCTCAGGACGATGCTGCTGACAAGTGTTGCGTTAACACTGCATTTGGCAATTTCCGTTCAATGTGATTTTAATGCATTCTTGGCACATCCCAGCCAGTAGGTACAGATGCCCCCGTCGCCTTTGGGTACGTACACTTACGTAAATTTCCAACATAACCTTGTACGAGAAAAAACTAGCTTGGAGACTGTAGTGACAGGAGTCTTATCGGGAGTCATATATATATATATATATATATATATATATATATATATAATTTTTGAAGTGTTTTTTATCAGTGGCTACATATTAGTATCAAAGTTTCATTTATCTGATCAGAATGCTCTTTCCGTACAAATCAAAGCGACAACGCATGTGAAGCTTGCGTGTGCGTGCGCCCAGGGTCGCTTGACCTACCTGCATCCCCGGGCGGTAGTTCGGGCTGGTCCAAGCACTGCTCGTACCGCTCCTTGATGGCGTCGATCCGCCACTGGACCGGGGGCACATGGCCACTCTTCATGGCCGTGATGAGTGCCTCCCGCATGCCCGGGTCGCTCACGTTCAGCGCTTTCTGTCGACGGAGAGGAGGGAGAGTGTTAGCTTCGTAACTTTGCGGTGATTTTCGTTTTAAACTCTCGCGAGGTGAAGCCGGTTTGCTTTCCTCCTCCCTCCCCCCTCCCCAGTGTCATTCTGTGGTCTCCGAATCGACTCGAGTGATTCTAACAGACGAAACATGCACCGAAATGTCCGAAGTGTTTTTGTTAAGCTTTTGAGTTACACTTATATTTCGAACAACGTCATCACCACAAGGACAAAATGACAGACCATTTGCTCATTTTTGTTTCTTGTCAATTTGGCCTTAAACTCACGTGGTTCTTTCGCATTTCATTGTTTCGAATGCAGCCCAACTGCATTAATGTAGGTACGCCTTACGCGATGGCAAATGCAGCATTTTGAAAAGCCAGAAAACACAGACATTTTATATCGAGAGCCGTCATGATGCAAATCGTAGTGCTTGCTTGCTTGTTACATATCGCTTTAGTCGCACCCACCCTTAGCAATACCCTAGATTGATGACGTCGATGATTGATGACGATGATCGATACCCTAGATCGACGGGTGTGATTGAGGAAGCTGGTTCGGAAAACGTGTGTCTGGTGCGCCATTCACATGCCAAGAAATCACAGATTCAGCTCACCTCGTATATTTTGCATTTGGCACCACCCCTGTAACTTGAATCTACGTCGCTTTAACATCCTGACTCTGCTTGGATGTCTTAGCTGCCTGTTACCAATAAACAGTGTATTCGAAGTGCCTAGATTGTAATCCGAGTCATCAGATGCCTCAACACCTTTCAATTGATCTTACCCCATCACCGTCCTTATCCCCCTTCGCAATATTTTGTGTTCAGCATCGAAAATATCACCGGAGATTAGGTTACAGCTATATAGGCTGATTTCAAGCGTAACCAGTGTTTATTCATCATAGACCCCCCCCCCCCCCCCCCTGCGCGTGTTGTGAAGGCACGTCGATAGCCGGACGGACCTTGGCTCTGCGGGCTCCGGCACTCAACGGAAATGCTCACCAGCTGCTTGAATTAGATCATCACGACTACACCCACCCAGGTGGCCTCAAAACTCAAAACAAAACAGAGCCGTCAGCTCCGGAACGTCGACTGAACAGAGCCTCCACCCACCGGGCCGCACAGCATCGTGCGCCGGCCGGCGCCCAGCGACGCACGACTACCTAATCCCCTCGGTGCCAACCTCTCTTCAGGTAACATCGTCCCGCCACAATGCTGGGAACTAGGGTTTTCATTCCATGAACGTCACACACGTCACAGCAGGCACAGCTGATAAATTTAAGACGTGTTATTTCCATTGGCTTATGGTGATCCAATCTATACCGGACATAGTAGGGAGTTATTCATGATATACTTGATGGCGCGCAATGCTATTTTGTTGAGACGTCGGATTTCAGAAGGACGAAGTAAATTCATGCAATACGCGCAAATAACCATTGCACTTGACTCATCCTTGAAGCCCCATAGCTCACACAATAGCCAGCTGGTACATGTTTCCGAAAACCTCGCGATATGTCTTCACATAAATCCTACAAATCACGCCTGGAACATCTCCTGGGTCAGTTAGGGTGCCAACATTCTTTGAGAACATGCCAAGTTGATGGGCTGTACATGACATCAAAAACGAGACCTGAGGGATCTAAGAGTGCAACTGCGAAACCGTACCGGCTTCCGCGTACAAGAGGGGCTGAGTTTGCGGGGGTTGTTAATCTATCCCTTGCGTCATCGCTGCATACAGGCCATAGTGATTTTTGTATGATCAGGCGAATATTTCACTCCTACCTGCGCCCCTCAACCAGCCATCGATAAGGTCCCGTGATTGTTCGTACGAAGGGGCACCTGCGTCGGTTTCTTGATGTGAGGTTTTGCGCGGTTTTCGTCGCCCATAGCCGCCCATATTCCTCCGCCCTGGATAGTGTTCCTCCAAACACTTCTCAAAGCGAAATGGGGGCAATAGACGGTGGCCAGAATGCATCACATTGCTCAAGTGACAAGGTAATTAAAATAGCTCGGGCGGCGCCCGCAGGCTACGCAGTTTTGCAGAGCACTGGGGTCAAGCAGTTCTGCAAAGCGCTGAGCTGGAACGCCACGCGTTTCGTAGTATCCACCTGCGACCAGCAGCAGCAAGATCAACCATACCTAGAGATGCAAAAGTGTGTGTTGACTTTTCGTCGCGGACGTCCAATCGTTCCCAACGAAGGCTATGCACGGTATGTGGCGGAATCCGGTAAGCCACTCACGTGTACAACCGCAATGATTTACGACAGATCCGATGCATTTCATCGGTTGCATTGCTGTTTTAAGCACAGGATGTCTAGATACGAGCGTGAACACCTGCGATGTGGCTCCCTAACTCTCCCTCAAGGTCATGCGCCCTACTCCATTCACAACCCATTACGTGCACACAATGCAAACATCGGCCGGTATTTTCTGGAAATATTCCTAGCTCGCTTCCGGTTTCCTACATGCAAAAAACACATCTAATAACATGAAAATAACCAAAACTTCCACGGCTTTGGTATGCGAGAATAACAAGGAGGATGTTGCACGTGCAAATCAATAAATAAATCCGCGAACTTGGTTGACCGCGAACACCACGTTTCTTGTGTCCACTATCCTGTGTGCCGCGGTCATACTCAGTATGAAACAAGCTGTGATCAGCCGTGTGAATACAACGAGTGTGGCACATTGAGGTTGTCGAAGCCAACTCCGATTCCAAGCACGGTTACGCTGCTAGGTGAGAGGAAGATTTTTCCAGTTTGCTACGTCACGAAAGGCAAAGATAATCAGCTTGACAATGAACGGGGGGGGGGGCTTTTTGAGACACTTGCGCTATGGTTCGCCCGTAAGACCGGCCATTTGGAACCGGTTTAGTTCGGGCCATGCGAAACTGTACGTAGATGATGATCGGAGGTACTCAACCCACGCGGAGTAAAGCGCGTCAAACGGCGGGGCGATTTCTACGCCCTGGCCTCACGCGAGGCTGCTTGAAAAGGCTCTTGAGTTGAGCGAAGACCAGTGGCAGATTGAGCCAATTCTGGAGCAGACAGATGACATAGGCTTTGAGTGTGGGCCTGCATTAGCGTGCATGAATCTTGCAAAAGTGCAGTTGCCAGAGCTTGCGGTGGCTGATTTGGGGCCGATGTCTGAGCAGGATGTATAATCTCCATCGCCGAGCAAGGACGTGGGGTGGCAGGTGATTAACACGAGGGAGCCCCTGGTGAGTACCATTGAAAGGCTCCTGTCGTGGAAATCAAACTCCAGGTTTTCCAATCCAATGCGCAACATTGCACAGAAACATCCTTAACTTTGCGCCTCACTGAGTTCTTTGCATACGTTTTACCAGGCGCACCTACATGCACGCAGCAAGGCAACTCAACGTCATGCTGCATGCCCCGACAAGATTAAACAATGGATCATGCCTTGCATCATAAACCAGTCCTTCCATTACCGACTGTGTGGGAAGACAGCCGAGCACGTCTTCCACACAATGCTTCATTTGCCGGTTTTGAGAAGCCTGTGCCAATTCTGAACTCGTTGCGCTCCGTTTTCATTTATTCAATTTAAACTTCGTGCGCTGCCGTTTGACAAAAGTTGGCAAGGCGACGAAAACAGGGCGTCAAAGTGACACCGATTTTCGCGCCCCTCCCCCTCCCTCCCCCGTCACCGGCTGTGCACGACGAAAACATGTTGCTGCGTCTGTCGGCTTGCCGTCCGGCGACGCCGCTTGACGCCGCGTGACGCCGCGTGACGCCGCGTGACGCCTGGCGACGACGGCGTGACGAGCGGGGACGGAGCGGGGCATATAACGGCGTGGCGTGGCCGCGGCGCACGCCTGCGGGGATCGCCAGCTCTGCCAGACGACGTAGCGCCCCACGCAGCGAGATGAGGTTGGCCGTTGCCGTCCTGCTGCTGGCCATGTGCGCCTGCTCCACCGCTCGGCCCGGTAGCGGTAAGTGAGCGCCGGTCCAAGCCGCGCCCAGCCAGCGTTTCAGAGCAGAGGGCGGCGGCCCAGCTCACACTCGGCACAGGAGAGGCGGAAGTGGATGGAAGCTCCTGTGGTCTCTGTCTTACCCTTTTCGAATGTCATGGGATGTCACCGATGGGTTCAATTGCTCTCATAGATGTTGACAGTTCAATTGCTGCTTTTGATTTGGACGCATGCCTGTTACACTGTCTTCTGGTAATTACACATGCTTAAAATAAAGTCCCTCAGAGACGGGTGAACATTATCTCACCCCCCAAGCTTCCTCAAATCTGATGTCATTTGTGTCGTTTGGCCCACATGGCGGTGGTTTTGCATAACTTGCCGCCTGTCAGTCAAATGACAGTCTGAACAAAATATCATTGAATTTCCCTGTGCTATGAAAACAAAGCCTAAAATGGTAAATAATTTGGATTATATTTTGAGCGAACCGATTAAAACAAAATCAAAATTTTCACCTCGTAAAGATTTCCACGACATCAGATGCTAATGGAAAGAAGTTCTGTTAAGTACTGTGAAATAACGCGGTTTGGCACGAGTTTGTTAAAGGACGTTCTGACGTCTATGGTTCTGCATAACTGCAGCCCCCTATCATGCGTACGATAATTGCATTAGTGCAGCCCCCTAGTCATACGTACGATTGTTGATGCTTTTTGTTGATTATAATGACGGACGCTAGATAATAGTTTGTACCTCTTCTTCGCTATTTATTTGTGCTAATTAGTATCATCGCATATAGACAACGAACCCAATTACGAATGCATAGCATGGCGTAGCATCAGCCTTGCAGTCAGTTACATTCAACAGGTCGATTTAAGTGGAAGAAATAAGTCATATCATCCCTGGCCATCCCAGTCCTACGCATCTTGAAGAGCTGTTATCCTTGTTTAAGAGGAATGTGCGAAAGTATGAGTATGTGCGATCCTGCTTGTGTGAACACGTGTTGCTGAAAGCAGGCGCACGACAAGACGGACTTCTTAGATCTGTGTTCGCTCGGACGAAA